TTGTTCCAAACCGGATAGAACACAACAACATACAAATTTGCCAGACAAAAGAAGTCCATCCAGTTTGCCTTCCACCATCCTGGCAGTTGCATGCACATGTTATATCCCAAACTATATACTGTATTACATGCTTTGCTGTGTATTTTTCTTGAATGTTCCGTCCCTTTTCTACCTTTCTCCCCATTTCTTTTCCATTTGTGGGAATAATAAATAGCATTTGCAGCATAGGGGATCAGTTTGAGCTATGTTGTAAGATGCCCAGTCATAGGCCCGAATCCTCAGGGTATATTCTCATTCACTTCCCAAGCAGATGGCTGAGATCCATCTGCACAAATATCATTCAGCTGGAGACATCTGGAGAGAATAGAAACAGCAGATTTCCCTTCACTGGAGCCAGATCACTTGGCTCCCAAGAGCCAGCCAGATGGTAAATCTCCTCCTACAGAAGAGCCGTGTGTGTGGAGTGGAGCAGAGAGGTCCATTAAGCAGCTACAAAGTCTGACAATCCGCTTGAAGTCTAATCCACCTCAGCAGAGGAAGCTGCAGCACGGAAAGGGGATAGAGAATCGCTCAGCGTCGATGAGCAGGTAGAACTGTGTGCAACATTGGAGGTCAACTTGGGGGGGAGCGAAGAGTTATTGTCAATTCCGAAGTCCACAGCAGTGGCCCAATATTCCTCATGCTCCGAATCCAAATCTAAATTCATAAGCTGAGTTTGAAGGTCATGCTGAGACAGCTGGGAAACAATGTGCCAAGGAATTCAGATGCACACACGGAGATGTACATCCAAATAGTATCAATTCCAACCCATGTTACCCAGCATAAACCAAGGCTTTACACATCAAGGGGTCTGGTTGACATTCAATGAGACACGTGCCCATTGTAAGCCTACATACCATCTTAGATCCATTCAACCATTAGAGTGAAACACGCCCATCAGAATGCTATGACCTACCCTGTTGTCTACTTGGATACTGAAGATCGACACTCATTAGCAAGGCAAAATTGTCCTTTTCCTTGTTAGACAACCAAAAATTGAATGGATGAACAATTATCTTTCCTTGTCCTTTACCAATCACCAGGATACACAGTAACTTCTCAAGGGATCGTATTCTGTTCCCAATAGATTAAAAAAACAATGTTTTTAATAATTACATTGGAAAATTTTGAACACGAAATTGATTGGTCCCAGGGTGTGTTAGTGGTCCTGGGGGTCAGAGTGCCTTCCTCCAACACTACCAGACATTGATTGTCCTCCACAAAGAGAATAAGCTCTAAACTACACCATTCGTCATCTGAATGGTTGACGCATTATGATTCCAGGTAATGATTAGAGCCAGAGCTTTCCATTTCTTGATTGAGAAAAGGCCGGAAATGGTTGATCAAAAGGTTGGAAAAGTTCTCTGTGGCTTAAAGGGACTGTGGCCGTGGCCCCAGAGGTTATGAGAAGCAATCAGATAAGCTGGAGAATTTTGTGTTTAAATAGAGACATTTCAGAGAACAGACAGCACCTTTTTTAAAGAATATTTTAGGCTGGCGCAATTGCCGTTTGGTAATACTGTGAGTTTACTTACACGCCAGAAAATCACGCCCAATCTGATTCATCAGATGAATCAGGAGAATTTGTTAGGAAAACAAACTGGTTGTCTAAAAAAACAGCTGCTCAGATAACAAAGCATTTCCTGATTGCAAACCATTTAACTGGGACAATCCAGCGAGTTTGCCATGAAGCAAGGACATCTGGTGGTCGTGGAGTATTAAGGCAGGTTTGGTACAATAAAACTCAGCTGTGAAAGAAGACATTGAATAATAATAGGAAAGGGACAAAAAGCAAGTTGACTTTTTTTTTTAAGAGTCGTCTGCACTGTACTTTCCCCCAGGATCATTCCCCCATTGATCCTGCTTTGTGTTCAATTATGTCTCAAATGCAGTCTTAACTTGGAAGTGATTTCTCGGCAATACTGAAAAAGAACTGTGGAACTGCATCTTTCAGATTAAGACTGAAATGAAAACTGCGCACAATCTTAAATTTATCAGACAATGATCTTAAGTTTAGAATGTGAGAAATGTCAAGTTATAAACAGGTTCTAGTAGCACTGTCTAGAGATGCATATACAGTATGTGGATGTCAGATGAGGACAAGATTCTATGTAGTTGTGATGCCCTCTGTTGTTGAATACCATGTCCAACACTTTAAGCCAAGTGTGTGAGGTAACCATGAACTGACAGTGCTGATAGGCCACTACCATATCTTAATAAGCTTGATGGTAACATGGCACTAATATAATTAAGTCCATGATAGCATTAATGTTTACTTGTCAATTCTGCACTGGAGTTTATATTAAACTCCCTCAAGTTATTAACAAGCTATATTTACCATAATCCTACAATCTTTTTAATGTATGTTTCCAGATATCCACATTCCCCACATTATAATAACATTGTGAACTTGTATCTCTACATTTTTAATGCTGAAGGTTATAAAAAGTCACATTAGAGAATTGCATTAAATCACAGTATATTTCCCAATTCACAAACCTCTTTCTTTCGTACACGAGTCTTTTTTTTTGTGCTCATGTGGCGTAGAAATATTGGGGTGAAATCTGCAAATTATCACATAAAATCTGTTATGAAACATCGCAAGTTAACACATCAAACCTGTTATAAAGTGTCATAAGTTTCATCCAATTTCGCTGATCCTTAAAGGTTGAAAAAACTGTTGTAATGGATAGCGTCTGACAATCCACTGATTCAGTATAAAATATCCAAATATTTATGAAGTACTTTAATATCAGTAGAAAGAATTCCTTCCTCCAGAAGATAGATCCTCTTCCAGGTGTACAAAGCTTCCACAATAATGGGGGTCATGTTGTCAGTGCTTCACGACTGAAAAGAGGCCTCATGACTTAAAATGTTCTCTAACAGAGAATCTATGTAAGTCACACCAATTTATGAGACTTGGGCTCTGACCTGAGATTGTGTTAGAAACAGGGTGACATACATAAAGTTCTCAGTGAAGGGCACAGCTTGTGTCACAGGTACTTTTTCCCTGAGATGAGGCATCAGTAATCCTACTATTTTTCCACTAAGCACATATTCAAGCCAACAATCCTCCAGTGATTTTGGTCATGGCTATTTTTAGTCTTTGCTCTGTATCATAGCTGCCAGATGTACCTTCTAATATAGTCACTACACTTGAGTACCTGTGATGTGCTTTGAGGCATGTGAGTGTTACAAGTGCTATATCAATAAAATGATTATTTTACCAACTCTCATTGAAGCAACGACTTCATCAGCAGCTGCTATCAGGTTTGGCTTGAATTCACAGCCGCAATGTTGAGAGAGAACTCCATGCCGCGTGTTTTAAGTCCCGAATGGGAAGGGTGGCTGCTTTTTGTACTCACAATGGTCACCTTGTGTCCTAGATCTAAGCATCTGAGCTCCTTAAAACCTCAGTGTACACTAAAAATAACCAGTCTGGAGTTAGAAAGATTTCATTGGTGCCGACTGGCTGTTCAGTGTTGAGCAGCACAGTTTAGGAGAAAGATATTAGCCCCAAAAGCAAATCTGCCACTGATTCACCTGGGGTGAGGGGACTTTGCTAAGATGAAAGGATGAGTAAACTTGGATTGTTCTTTCATTCAAGTTCATTGAAGTTTCTAAGGTATTAATGGGAATTGGCAAAGTAATTAAGGAACACATCGTCATCTTTAATAATAATCCTTGCATTTGATACAGCGCCTTATCACATCTTCGAGACATCTCAAAGCGCTTCACAGAATATACTGTAAAGTGAATTGCCTGTATATTTTGTGGACATAAGGCAGCAGCCAATTGCACGCAACAGTGTCCCCACAAACAGTTGTGGATTGAGTGACCACTTTTTTTAAAAAGGGATCTTTAAGGGAATCCACATCGAGAGGCAGAATCTTAAAACTAACGCTCTGATGGTCACTGTAAATGTAGAATATGTCTTCACACAGAGCACTGTGAGAGTGTGGAACACACTGCCCCCTGAAGGCTATAGATGGAGAGTCGATTGAGTTATTTCAAAGATAGATAATTATAATAATGATCCTTGCATTTGATATAGGGTCTTACCACGTCTTCGAGACGCCTCAAAGCGCTTCACCGAATATACTGTGAAAGTAAGAGAATAAAGGACTTTGGAGAAATGGCAGTCAGATGCTTACTGGTTCAAAGAAAGTGTTGGTTTGCATTTGCTATCAGAAGAACCCTCTGTGAAAAATATTTATATAGCATAACATCTACATATTTATTTTACACTTCAATACAGGAATAAACTATTAAGGAGCCTGTGATCAATTATTTTATATGCTAAGAATGTAAACTATTGTTCAACGATATAAGGAACTGGAAAAGGCAGTATCTTTTTTTTAATATTTTAATTATTTCACTGTTTCCTGTTCTGATGAATTTTTTTAATTAACAATATAAAAACATTCATTCAAATATCTGTTTTTGAACTGGGTTCAGGTTTTTAAACTTAATCTCTCAATCACTTCAACCCTTTCCCAATACATAACAAAAGTTTGAATGCTCTGCCTTAACTCAGTTGCTGGGAGTTAGACTGAGGAATTTCTTAGAAATATCCTGGTCTAACCTACAAGGTGCAGATGATTGGTGACTAACCAGTGAACAACAAGATCACAAGAGAGGTGTGGGATGGAGAAGGCCCTCTAGTGTCCATTGTATCTCATCCTTCCTACCTCACATTACAGCATTAATCAAATCCCTCGTCCTAGTTTCAAACACCCATCCTGAAGCCCAAACGTTTCATGGTCTTAGCCTTAAGATGCTGACCTAAATATTAAGGCAAAGACAGTGAAAAATGCCAGGTTTCTACGTGCTTTAATGTATTTGAAAATAAGTGCTCTGGGGGTAGTGTTCTCTATCCCATTTAGCATCTCATGTGCCTTTATCACTTCCTGTAAAACCATGTTNAAAAAAAGAGAAGAAAGCCAAATGAACAAGCAAAATTCAGAAACATTTGTGCAACTGGCTTTGCTGCACCCAATGTTCAGCCCTGGGCCAAACCTTTAACAATTTCAACTGCTGTTCAATGTCTATTGCACATTCATAAGGAGCAAATCAAGATACAGTAGAAGGTAAATCACCACGGTCTTACTTTGCTGAAACATGCTTCAAACATATTTATCATTCACTAAAAAATCGCAACGTTGTTTAACACAGAAGTAAAACCGTTCGAATATGATAGTCCTTTACACTTTAAGATATTTCGAAGTTCTGTGACTCGGAGACCTTAATTCAAAGTTCTATCAACTTGCATGTCTGGAACTGCATTGTGTTTCCTTTTTTTCCCAAAGGTAGAAAAAGTGTTGCTTTGGTCCATTTCAGTCACTGGGTCCATCTTGCAAGATTTCAGGGTGGCAGTGCCGGGGATGTATACATTGTGCTTGTACCCGGTAGGTTGGTCAATATAAGGGTATTGCGGTCCATATCGAGGTGTCCAGCCATGTTTGTCAACTAATAAAGGAGTTCCACGATAATTTTCTAAGTAGAGCGGAAAGAAGAAAATATGTTTTAAGCAGATTACACAGGAATAAAGTCAAAATAATAATTATAATAATAATCCTTGCATATAGCGCCTGATCACGTCATTGATATCTCAAAGCGCTTCACAGAATATACTGCAAAGTAGATTGACTGTGTATTTTGGGGGCGAAACACAGCAGCAGTGCGCACAGCAGTGTCCCACAAACAGACGAATAAAAATAAAAATCTAACGATCCTGCTTATTAAACCTGAACCATGAAAAGTGGTGGTAAGTTAAGATTTTTGCAGTTTATTCATAGTTTATTTGAGAATAAATCCTCATACTTAGGGGCAACAGTTGGCCTGGATGTCTGTCAACCATCCATATCAACTGTCTCTCATGTAAAACTTTCAAAACACTGTACATACAATTGGTTCTTATTAAATATACAATGTAAATAACTGGCACTTTCTCAGCACTTTTCACATAGGATTTTACGAACGATTTCATCCATGAAGGTCAAATGTCTTAAGGTGTAGTACACCACTGTGTCCACACGAGGACGCCATTGCCACGTTCAATAATGCTGAGCCGTCTCCCCCACATCACCCATTTCAGCTAAATATTAGAGCAATGCATTTTAGGTTATTTTTGGTCGAATTTAATTCGGAAGTCAGTTGCCCACAGTTCTTAAAAGAACCAGAGCTTCCAAAATAAGAACTGGCATAAGTACAATGGGCCGAATGCCCTTCTCTGTGCGGTAAAATTTGCATTTGATACAACGCCTTATCACGTCATGGAGACATCTCAAATGCAAGAATTATTATTATTAACGTTTGTTAAGGCTATAATTAAGCTCTATAGTTAAATCTCTGCAAAATGAGTTGAGCTGCACCATGAGAGAATTGCTCATCCATTGTGACAAAGCCCAGGAGACATTTGGCAGGACAGCTATACTGGACTCTCTCTCCCTTCCATTAATATTCAGTTATTTTCAGAGTTGTCCTCATGCTCCCAATACGCTTGTAATTTGTGCCCATTTCAGTGTTTCCAAGGACAGAAGGAATGAGAATCTTCGGGCCCTATAGCATCTATCAAATGATGACAGCAGTTCCAGCGATTTTTCCAGTTAATGATTCACTGGGAAGTTGGCTGGGAGCTCAGTCCTTGCTATTGCCAGGACTCCTTGGCCCTTAGAGACAGTAGAACCAGATGACTACCTTGACTTCCTACCAAGATAACAGAAATGGCCTTTTGTAACTCAAAGCTGCCAGAGGAAGTCAAGGCTCCCCTCAGGCCCATTGACCAATCAACCCAGCTTTTGGTTCAAATAATGTAAAGTTGGCCCAGGCACGGAAATTGTTGGCTTCAAATCTCTCCCTGGTGGTAAAGGATGTCCTTGGAAACCATTGAACAAGTACATTCAGTTTTGGGGTTACAGCAACAACGAGCTTCAGAGATTTTTATAAAATCTTATCACATTAAAATGTCCCAAACTGTTTCACAGATAACTACTGTCAAGTACACTCACTGTTGTTGTAGGTAAACATGTCAGCAATCATAACATTGTATTGTTATAATACAATTATAACAGTATAATTGGTGCCATCAGTCCCACAAATGTAAGGTAGATTTTCTCTTAAATCTGAATTAATGTACTGCACAAGGATCCTGCCACATGTCTCCTGAGATGAGGATGATTGCCTCTATAAAAAATGTGCATTCTATTTAAGTACTTATGGATATCATTGTTATGTGTCTCATTTATTGACAAGTGTGCCATTAAGTGGTGAGGTGCCAAGCACCCATCTTAATTAAACTGTGGGCAAAGGTTTTTGAAGTGTCAGGAAATAATGATCTGAGCTTTGAAGTGAATGTGTTGATGAGCTATTTTGAAGCTTATGGTTCTGTTCTGCCATGACTCCAGCAAATTTTGGGATTTCTCCACTTTTGTGCCTGACCAACAGCATCTCATTATCACTCTCTTCAAAGAACAGAGAGAAAGCTGGAGAGAACCCTGAGGAGATTAGGAAAATAACCGAGGAGAAACTGGAATTAACCGGCACTGAGAGAAAGGCAATAAGCTAATTGTCTTGGATAGTGTTTGACTTGGGAATGTGTTCTTTGGTTTATTGTCCATAAATAAAGCTAATGTTTATTTGCGGGTCCCCACTGTATTACACACCTTATGAGAGTCATGATAGGGTGAGGCCACAGCAAATGCACAGACTACTGTTTGCCTCCATTCATGAGCCATGTGGGAGATGGGAAGCACACAAACATTACCTCCCATTGAGTGTTTGTTTCCCTCAGTCTGCAGTGATCCCAATGATCTCCAAACAATTACAGCCAAGTCTTTTTTAATGAGCTAATAAATAAACTATTAATTACTTTTTGCTACAGAAACTGCTCCACCAGTGCACTAACTCTGTGGGAAGAAACATTATTTTGCTCCAGTTGGAGATATGTGCATGTTAATGGCCTCGGATGGCACTATCCCTCCAAGACTTGGCTTAAATCTTCCTCATTGCCAACATCAAAACCCCAATCAAACTGTTGACTATTTGGCATTAAGTAGTCTTAATGAAATCTCTCGAATCGACGGTCATATTCATGTGCGTTCATGCAGATATAACAGGTTTAGAAGTGACAAGCATTACAGCTCTACCCCCTACTGGACTGAATTAGTAACATGAAGCCATTTGCCTTCTGACAGTTTGACTGGCGCCCCTGGTGGTCTGGGAGGGAAATAGCACCCCCTGTTGCCTGCGATAAGGAGATTGGAAGGACATCTTTCTGTCTCTGTCTCCCACCCCAATGTCTTCGATTGTCAAACAAAGAAAAAGTGTGAGAGTGTGTGTGAATGTGAGGACATCTCAACCTGACTGTGTGCCACAAGAGAAAGAGACCTGACCCCCAGAGAGGCCGATTTTAATTGAAAGAACTAATCCTGGAGCAGTTTCCCTAACTCGATTTTTTGCTACATTTCCTGACACAAGGAAACTCGGCAATGGGGAAAAAAGACCTATTTAAATAATCATTGTAACTAATGCGCATTCAGTGTTTCACACAATCTCGTGGGGGTGTCTGGACTGTCTGATTCACTGCGGTACCTGGGCTCTGGTTAAGCGGAACTGAGTGTTTCTGAACAAGGTAACTAACTGCTGTGCCTGACTGTCAGAATCTGTTAGCAATCAACTTGAAGAGAAAAAAATGTCCATTTCCATATAAATCCACCTCGTGTCTTACTACTGAACAGGTAAAATACCAAAGTTTTGTCGGGTTTTTTTTTCAAAGAGAAACATTAACCCATTGGGCGTTTTTTTCAATAGAAAAATAACAGAAAACACATTTTTTTTCGTGTATTGTGTGTGTGTGTGTGTGTATTACGTGTGTATTTGTGTGCATTCTGTGTATGGGTGTGGGTCTGTATGTGTGTATTCTGTGTGTGTGTGTGTGTGTAACTGCACAGTAACCTCTAAGGGACAAAGGGACATTGAATGAATCAATCGGTGGGAATAAATCATACGGACAAAGGCTATTGTAGGTTAATCGAAAATATATCGCGATTAGCAAATTGTTCCAAACACGCAGATGGCATACAAAATGAGTGAACAGTGCCGGACATAATACCCCCTCCTCAAATACCCCCCTCCCAGGAGAAAATCGCTTTGGAATAATCACACTGATTAAAAGCCAGATAACACAGATAATGGTTCCCTCTCTCTTTATTGCTATAATCAGACTTCAAGCGATCTCGGATTAGCCGCTGATCTGGGCAATAAAACACAGAGCCCTTGAAATGATTTGTTTGATGGCGCAAAAAGAAGAGAGACGAAGCGATTTATGTGGCTTAATAATATGCACATTTATGCTTACATTTTTTTGGGGGGGAGGGATTGAGGTAGCGTTGTGTGTAGCAAAATACCATTTCGCAGATGCACTGTGCAGTAAACTGGATCAATGAGCGCGGAAAATGGGGGAAAATGAATAGCAATTAATAGAATTAATGATCTCTAACTGACTCCGAGATGTAAGATTTTGCCTTTTGGTCGGCCCCGTGTCTGACAAAGGCGGAAACCCATCACTGTGCTTCAGAGTCCAAAAACCTAAAGGGTGTTCGGGACAATTCAGTAATCTGAGATGTGAGATATGCACAGGATATTTTAAAATAAAAATGGGTATTCGGGAGTGTCAGTGCAGACTCCTCCCTCTCCCCCCACTCCCCTCCCCAAGGCAGCTATTCCATCCCCCACCCCCCACATCCCCGACATCTATTCTATCTCCCCACCCCGTCTAGCACTGACCGGTTGGTGTAGAGACCACCGAACGCACTTTGACCGGCTCTATCTGTGCCGGACGCCGGGAAACCAACACGTCCTGATCCAGAGAACTGGGAACAAAAGAGTCATTGAGTCAACCACCGAGAGAGAGATCACAGCGCAGTGAAACGCAGGAGAGAGTGAGACACACACAGGGCAGAGAAACGACACACACACACACAGGACAGAGAGAGCGAAAGTCACCACAGAGACACAGGTGAATAAACTGGAATAGGAATAAATAGGATAGGAACATTGTTTACCTGATAGGAAGATTGTTTTGAAGGGGTGAGAATCGACAGTCAGTGTTTTGTGGCTTCATCTGTAAAACACATAACAAACAGGTCCTTTGTGGGGGTGTTTTTTTTTGGCTCTAGTTATTTAAAAGCAAAATATATCCTAAGATACATATTGAATACTACTAAATGTCTGGTCGGGAGAAAATGGGATTGAACAAACTCACTACGTTTGATTTACACTGATCCAATTCCCTTCTCTCTCAGAGTTAGAACGGACAAGACACCAAAGATTTTACCACCGCCCCCCCCCCCCCCGGCCAAACAAAACACATGTTAACAGATAGCTATAATCCACGTCCCAGCACACAGTGAAGGGTAAATTGCACATTACTTCCAGAAGTAAGTTAAAATTATGCCATCAATCAAAATCGCTGCTGCGTATTTGGAAGGACATCATTTTTTGTTCCACTTAAAGGGGGTTCCACTTAAAGTTTAGCCGATAAAAAATAAAGTAGAGCCATGAAAGGGTTTATACCCTAATTAAAGTACACCCATTGTAGGGTTAACAGTTGATTTAACGTCCAACATGTCATACCGGTGAATGTCAGACTGTAAATGAACTGATGGGGGGAGGTTTTCCCGCTTATTTACTTTGTAGGATGCGATTGAAAGCAAAGGACATTTGATGAAAATGGGATTGACATTAATTAAGTGCGTGTTTGTGTTTTCATCAAACCCACTCAAAGCTCCATTAGACCTCTGAATGCCACACTCCCCCACTCTCTCTCTCTCTCTCTCCAAAGCCTATTTAACCACGAGCAAAAATTCCACTTGAAAACCCACATTTAAATAATACATTTCCTTATGCAACTGACAGCTTAAACTCAACCCATTCGCTGGGCTAGTTTCTGAGACATAAAACGTATCCGCCTGAATTTAACTTATTTCAATCCCACTTCAATTGATCTCACTAATTTGAACTTTTTGATGTATAAGAAACAGAATATTCAAGCTGTGTAAAATTAAGATTCTTTATATTTACAGAAAGTGGCTTGATGTAACATTACAAGAAAATTTCAGGCGATGGTTTCTCTTTTTTTAACCAAACTTTAAAGTGGAATTTTTTTTCTGCTCTGGGCTCAGTAATAGTTGTGTTTAAGATGTGGAACATTTTGAAAGAAACGGAGAAAAGAAGGAAAGAAGAAAATAAGGAAGGAAGCGAATTATTTGCGTGACAGTCACATAAAAGGCAAGATGGGTTGAGAGCAGCGTGAATAATGCCACCTGGAGTTACTATCTGTCACCCTCACCACTCAGACATACTTGTTGCAAATAAATTAAGAAAGGTCGAGCAATTACTAGGGAACCAACCCTATATTGTCAATATGTCAAGTTCCATCGCACACAAACATCAACACAACAATTGTATTCAGATGAGATATGCGTCTGTGTCTCAGTAAAAAAGTGAGTTAAGTATTCCTTTGCTGTCACAAGAAAACGTTTTGGTTCATCATTCTATCGGTTCATATGCTTACAGCTCCCAGGGGGATTACCCCATTAGCCTAGATACAAAGAACCTTGATGTATGCGACGCCTTGTCGCTTCTAAACTGTCTCAAAGCTCGGCTCGGTGCTGGGATGTCAGCCTACACTGTGTGTAGACTGAAGTCCCAAAGTGGTTAATTGTTGGCGTATTTTAGGAATGATCGTGTCTTGTGTTCGAAAAAGGAGCGCTGTGGCGGAGGAGAGTTACCTGGTCACTTCTGGCGAGTGACCCATAACAATGTGCCTCCCTTAGTTCACTCCCAATGGGAAAGGGTCTCCTTAACAGACAGCGTTATGTGGGAACCTGTGAATACTGACACCCATTTGCGGTTTAAAGGGAGCTAATGGATCACATGATATCACACACATACACCTAACGCGACATCGACTGAGGATAGGCAGAGTCTCGATGAATACTGAGAGATCCCTCGCTAACAGTCCCGGTGACAGACTGCACAACTCTTCCCCAGTCAATGCATTGAGTTTGTTGGATGGTGTGCAAGTGTGGCGAATTCTGTCTGGAAGGTTCCCTGTGGACAGAGGGTTCACCCGAGGCACCGTGTATTTCAGAATCAGCAAAGAAAGAAGGAAAGAAAGGGAGAAAAAGAGAGAAATATATGGTTTTGATGTTCTTCGACTGCTTGTCCGTTAGTCTGAGTTGAGACTTAAAGACTCTATCAAGCTCACCTGGCTTGTTGGGTTGGTCCTGGGTTTGGCAGGGTTTGGGGTCTGCCCACTCCGTCCAGTCACAGAGGGCTGGGTGTTATTGGGCGGGGGGGCGGTGGCTGGCGCGTAGGGTTTGAGAAACATGAAGTCACTTTTGGCCGACTCAGGGGTCAGACACACCCTGTAACAGTAAGCCTGGGACCCGCTGCCTCCCACCTCGGCGCAGTTGGGCGCCGCCTTGGTCCCCGAGGCGATCTGCAGGTTGTTGTTGGCCTTTTTTTGGTAGATCTCCCTCGGACTCTTCCTTCTCCAGAAACAGACACTCCTACAGCAAGGTACTGGGGAGCAGGTGTAGGCTTCGCGGAGGTTGTTTCTGTCCCTGTGGCAGCGGATGGCGGCGAGGATAACGATAGCCACGAGAAACAAGAAGGAAATGGAGCCGAGAGAGATGATCAGATAGAGAGTGAGGTCAGTGTGTGGCTCCTGATCTCTGGTCACGTCAGATTGGATCTCAGGCACAATGTCCACGATAGACAGGGCTATGGTCATGGTGGATGACAGTGGTGGTTGCCCATTGTCCTTGGCTTGGATCACTAGTCTTTGGTTGACAGAGTCTTGGTCACCAAAGCGCCTGACTGTCCTGATCTCTCCCGTGTAGAGCGCCACGCTGAACAAGCCCGAGTCGGTGGCTTGGAGCAACCGGTAGGAGAGGCGAGCGTTCTGTCCCGCATCCGCGTCCACCGCCGTCACCTTCACCACCAGGTAACCGGTATCGGCGGATCGAGGCACCCTCTCCACCGCCACCGAGCCGTTGGGCGGTAAGGGAGACACGATAACCGGCCCGTTATCGTTCTGATCCAGAACGAAGACGTTGACGGTCACGTTGCTGCTCAACGAAGGGAAGCCGGCATCCTGCGCTTGCACTTGGATTTGGAAGCTCTTAAGTTGCTCGTAGTCAAAGGAACGTAGGGCGTAGATGTTCCCGGTGTCCGAGTTGATGGAGACATAAGTGGACACAGACATGCCCTGTATCTGACTGCTCAGGATAGAGTAAAACAGGTAGGAGTTCTGGTTCAAGTCTGGGTCCACTGCGCTCACAGAGCAGATGGAAGCGCCCGGTGCGTTGTTCTCAGTCACATACACAGTGAAGGTGAGCTGCGTAAAGCGCGGGGTGTTATCGTTCACATCCGACACCTGTACCACAATGGTCTTGTTGCTGGAGAGAGAAGGGGTCCCCATGTCTCCGGCGGTGATGGTGATGTTGTACTCAGCCACACTCTCCCTGTCCAGCAGGTCATCAGTGACCAACGTGTAATACTTCTTGAAGGAGGGCAAGAGTTTGAACGGGATGTTCTTGGCGACTTTGCAACTCACCCTCCCGTTGGCCCCGGAATCGCGGTCCATCACGTTGATCAGAGCGATCACGGTACCCGGAAGTGAGTCCTCTGGGACGGGGGTGGACAAGGAAGTCAAGATGACCTCTGGCGGGTTGTCATTCAAGTCAATGATCTCCACCATCACATTGCAATGCGCCGCCACCGCGTTCTGTCCCTTGTCCTTGGCTTGTACAAAGATCTCATATAACGCGGCTTCTTCGTAATCCACCAACCCCCTCACCCTGATCTCCCCGGTTCTGGGGTTCACGCTGAACAGTTCCCGCACCCGCTGATGAGCGTGGTTACTGAAGGCATAAACTATCTCCCCGTTCGTACCTTGGTCCAAATCGGTGGCTTCCAGTTTGAGAACCAAAGTTCCCTTGGGTGCATTTTCCACCAGCCTCACAGAGTAGACCGTTTGGTCAAAGACTGGGGTGTTGTCGTTGGCATCCAGAACACTGATGGTGATCTGCGCGGTGCCCGATTTCTCCGGGATGCCCCCATCTATCGCTGTCAACACTAAGTGATGGGTCGCTTTCTGCTCCCGATCCAGCGCCTTCTCCAGAATCAGCTCCGCCAACATGCTCCGTTCGCTGCGAGCATGCACATCCAAGATGAAGTGTTCGTTGGGAGTCAGCCGGTAGGTCCGCAGCGAGTTGGGGCCAACATCCGGATCGTGGGCGCTTTCCAGGGGGAATCTGGCTCCCGGAGTCGCCGATTCGGTGATGTCCAGCCGCACTTGGCTTTGGGGGAAACTGGGATAATTGTCATTGACATCCAGAATCTCTATCTCAGCCTGATACAGCTCCAATGGGTTCTCTATCACCACTTCCAGGTTGAAGAAACAGGTGGGATTCAGTCCGCAGAGTTGCTCTCTGTCTATCTTCTCATTGACAAACAATATTCCATTTTCCAAGTTGACATCCAAGTAGTGTTGACGAGCGCCGGACACAATGCGGAACCTGCGGGCGGACAGTTCCGCTACGTTCAAGCCGAGATCGTCGGCGATATTGCCCACAAATGCGCCGTGTTCCAATTCCTCGCGAATCGAGTAGCGAATCTGCCCAAACGCCGAACCCCAAAGCCCGGAAGAACTCAAGAACAAAAACGCCAGACAACAGTCCAAAATCCGGCTTGGATTCGAATTAGCCATAACACTACACAAGTTATTATAACACCACTACTGAGAATAATAATCCTATAGCATCCGATAGAGCGCCTTATCACGTCTTCGAGGCGTCTGAAGTTCTCCCTTAACCCCCCCCCACCCACCGCGCAATAAAACCGTTCGATTTTCAACAACCCGTCTTATATCCAGAGCCGGGAATGATCGATTCCAACAAAAAACTTTTGGGCTAAAGTGGATTTGCACCCGCGCTTGGCTCGGAATAACCTCTCCCGCTCTCTCTCTCTGTCTCTCTGCACACCGCGACTCTGCGCCAGACGAGAGAGTGTTGCAGTGCAAATGAGAGACATCGCCACTAATCCCTTGCTGCCCCGTCCGATGTATTTAACAGCCCGAGGATGATCTGAGCGCTGCTTTCTCTCTCTGATTTCTGTACTGTGTTTAATGCCGAGAAGGGAGGGAGGGAGGGAGGGGAGAGAGCGCGTTGTCTATCTCGCTGCATTTCAACACCTTATTGGAGGACAGCTGAACAGAGATACTCACTCGGTAACACAGCCCCGCGCGTCTTAAGGAGGAAGGATCCTTATGATAATAATGATCCTTGCATTTGATGTAGCGCTGAGATGTCTCAAAGCGCTTAACGTGATATATTGTAAAGCGTAGTGACTGTGTATTTTGCGGCAGCCAATTGGAGACAGCTGTGTCCCACAGCAAGTCGTGGACTGAGTGAACAAATTATTATTTATTCATTATTTTTGGAAGGGATTATAAATAAGTGACCCGTTTTGGAAAGAACACAGCGTGGAGTCGCTGGTCTAAGTCACTAATTAGCATTACCAGGGCTGGCGCTGCAACGCTATGCAGTTTATAAGCTTCCTCTCAAAGGGTCATGAAACTTAGCAGTAACCTTGGCCAAAAAAATCAAATAAGCAAATGAATAAGTGAATGAACGGATCAGTGGATCGATGAATCAATGAAGCAATCGATAAATAAATAAACCAAGTTAACCCAACAACACGGCACACAACACAACACTGCAGTGAGCGAGGCAATGCACCGCAGACTGGAGCCCCACTCCCCTCATCCACCGCTGTAATCAGAAGCAGGTTCCCGGCAAACTGCATTACAAGTAGTTTTCCGCAGCACTGGAATATCATTGTTTTATACTGTACTTACAGCTGCTCTTCGGTGTCACCAGCTGGTACCCTGTACTTAAACATTGGGATTAGAACACACCATGGGATGGGATCAGCGTGTGTGTTTTAATCTTCAGTCTCTTGAAGTCCAATATTACCAGCCCTGGATGGATGCCTTTGGACTTAAACATATGTAACTGGAGCTGATTAAAATTATTTTAATATTGTTGTTTCCTGCCGGGGTCACTGTAGCGATACGGGCTTAATGAAATGCTATGATCCGGCGTTTCCAGGACTCACAGTCCTTATCCTCAGTTACTTACAGTATTACTTACTCTGTTCTCTGAACATGTGTAATATTCAAATTAAACTCTAATCAGAGTAAATAAAAATCTACCAGACGATTAATTCCTTTCGGATGAAGGGATTTTGCCTTTAAAACCCTATGAATTTATGGACATCTTTAATGCGGTGTGACATGGAGATTGAGAGCAATGCCAATTCTTCCAGAAGTGTGAAGGGACCAAAAAACCTCAGGTAACAACATCCAACGTAATAATAATAATAATATTAATAATAATTCTTGCATTTGGTGTAGCGCATTATGACACCTTCTAGACGTCTCAAAGATCTTCACAAAATATACTGTAAATTGGATAGACTGTGTTTTCTGAGGGCAAAACGTGGCAGCCAATTGCACACAGCAGTGTCCCGCAAACAGTTGTGGATTGAGTGACCTTTTTTTTTAGAGATTATTACTACCGGAAAGTGATCCGCCAATCCACTAACAACCGAGTTCCTACTTACTGCTTGGTAAACAGAGGCGAGTGGAGTAGGGAAATGTGCCTGAGGGAATCGAACTTCCAAAGCGAGCGCACTAACCCCTTCGATATGTGACTCCACAGTAAGTCAGACATGTTGGTCAATAATAATGGACTTACTATGGACCTGTGTGTCTCTCTCTGGCTTCATACAGCTGTTCTCTGAGACTTAGTTCAATCCTAGGGAGACACTGCTTATCTTCTCCCCCCCCCCCCCCCCCCCCCCTCACCTCCCCACATTATTATACCTTACACTCATAGCATCAATCTCTTGAACGGAATAAGGGTGTGTTGCATCCAGTGTCTTCAAACTCAAACTTGTTGATCTCAAGTTTGGCGCTCAAACCCAATGGTCTATCAAGAAATTACAGGGACCCGATGATTGACAGACAGCTATGATGGTATTTTGCACTGTGACGGATGCTTTTAGTTATGATAGTCCCTGATCTTTATTCCAGACAGCACATCGTTCAAGTGAAGGACAGGGTTAGGTTCAGCAGAGTAGCCTGCCAATATTCACTGACTTGTCTCCCACAGGAAGAATCGGGCAGTTTATCTGATTTCACATAAATTATTGAAAGACTCAATTTATAGGCTCTTGGAAATCTCCATTCATAAAGAATCAGAACACGCACTCCTTTAGCCAGCGAGTTTTAAATGGCTCAGTACAGTATGAACATTGTTCCTGATTGTTGGATGATATGTGTAGCTCTGAATGCCCTACAATACCTCACATTATATGGATGGACAGAGACCATTAGTTTAAGTCTTCTGTGCTTTTGCTCCATAACATTTTACAACTGTTTAAGATGCTGCAAAGCCACCGTGCGATATCACGGCTAATTTGCATTATTTCTTAATGGGTTTGTTAATAAGGAATCCCTATAGAATTCCCACTGACCTAAGCAGATCACGTCGGAGCAGAGTTCTGTCAGCAGTAGTACTTTCGGTTACTGGAGAGAGTGTCCATTTCTGCGACTAGGATTTCTTGTTGAAGAATCCTATCAAGAAATACTGTACGTTGCATTGCATTGTCAGATTGTGTTCATCTGGCAATGGAGAGGAGAATCTACTTGAAACCGTTTCATCTTCCCAGACGAGGGGCTGTTGATTGTGGCTGAGTGTAAGCTATTACATGGCTGCTCTGTACAGCATTGTGCTGTCAGTGATTGCAGATTCCCACTGCACTTGACTACTTAAGGAAACTGACAGACTGCTGCCCCTCTTTAAACAATGACCTTGCTCTTAATTCTCTAGCAACAAGCTTCAAGCAATTCATACTCAACCTCCACATGGAGTGAATGTTAAAGTCTTCACCAAAATTGCGTATTTTTCCAGCTATCTCTTCCCCCCTCCCCCTTTTAATCTTAGCCAATATATTGTACTGTAGGGAATAATGAAAAGCAAACATCAGAAAAGGAAATCTCAGTTCTGGTGGGCAAAGGAAATGTGTACAATTATATTTTAATAAAAAATATTCTAAATGTGGTCATATGCCTCTTACTTTCCTATTTGTCCTTATTCTCTCCTCCCCATTCTTATCATCTATTCTTGCATCCCCAAATTTCACGTAGCCTTAGCCTTTTTCTTTTAAATATAATTAAATTAAATGCAGAATTGTGAAAAATTCCTAAATTCAGTATTAATTTTCTTTTTAAGCACTGCGGAAAACCGTTTTTCCAAATTAATAATAATAATCCTTGCATTTGATACAGTCCCTTATCACGTCTTCGACACGTCTCAAAGCACTTCACAGAATATATTGTAAAGTGAATTGACTATATATTTTGTGGGCAAAATCAAGACTAAATTTAAGAATTTTCCATCTTTCTGCATGATCTTAAACATTAAGAAAGGCAAAGACTGGGTGGCTTTTCAGACCTATAATCCTTTGAGAGAAAAAGCCAGACAAAAGAAATCTCACTGTGAATGAAATGGTTTTAGCTGGAAATTTGTTATAAAGTTGCCCGGCTCATTTCAGAGAAGGTGGTTTCATTTTCTGTACATTACAATGTTCTCACGTTGAGTGAAGGAGCAAATGATTTTTGTAATTACAATTATCGGGCAGGTGGCGGGAAAAGTTTAAATGTGTTGCGTGAGAGACAAAGCAGTCAATCAAGTACAATAACCTTCCTGTGGAAGGTTAACAAAATATAGATAAGCGGTATGTACTGACTAATGGGAAATGTAATCTTGAATGGTTTCTGGGCTCTTGCAGCAAGACAGTTCTGAAAGGATTAATAGGAATGCAATGCCGAAAGGCTGAAGTAGTGGGTGAATTTATTGGTACAGTCATCTGGGAAATTTAAGGTGGCCTGTACTTTACATTCTGCCAGATTCTCAACACCATCTTATTTCCCAGGTGACTGCAACGGTTTTGTTAGGGTGACTGCAAAATAATTTCAAGAACCTTCCCACCAAACTTAGCTTTCAAAAGAGAGGATTGCACTTAATATCTTAAAGTCCGCTACTACAACACAGGGGATGTTGTGGATAATCAGGGGAAAAGGGTATAAGCCGTAATGTGATTATGACATTGTAGATAACTGCACTTGAAACAGTGGATAATTATTAGCCTCTTTAGCACCCTTTCACATCTCCTAAGGCTGGGTACCAAAATAAAAGCAAAGGCTTCAACAAGCCCATGTCATATTGCATTCATAGCCATTAATATCACAGTTAGTTCACTCTCTAGGTCAAGCCAATATAATAATATTCCTTGCATTTGATGTAGCGGTTTATCATGCTTTTGCGACATCTCAAAGTGCTTCACAGAATTTACTGTAAAATGAATTGACTGTATATTTTGTGGGCGAATCGTCATTCCTCAATCACTGCTTAGTCCTCACATTTGGCATGCTGGGCCTTTGTCCAAGTAGTAGCTCATCAACGATGATCACAAGAGAGGTTCAAATGAAAAAGCCCCTGTGGCACATTTGATATCATCCTACCTTCTTCCCATTATAACACTGAACTGCTTCTTAAATATGACGTGCAATCAGGTCTGGTAACCTGTTTCAGCTGTTCGATACCCTCTGTGTACAGCAATACTTGTGGTGTCTGTACTGAAATTGCCCTTCACACCCACCCTGCGTCCTCTTGACATTTGCCAAAATGCCTTTGAAATAACTGAAGCTACCGTTCT